GAGTGTTTTAAAAACTAAATTCCTTCTTGGAGACTGACAGCATGGATCCTTACCCCTGTCTCTGCTGAAAATAACTCATGTCAAACACAGCAGCAGTAACAGCAGGAGAAACGTGTCTGTCTCGCACAGTCTCAGACATTAACCACGTGAAGATACGAGTGGCAGTCCTGGGGAAAAGTTGAAGAGTCCGAGTTTTTGGGATGTTGTCTCTGTCCCTTCCTCTCCAACCTGTTTCTGTTTGCAGTTTCTTTGAGACAAGACATCCCCACTTCTGGCATTGAGGAAGCCCCAGGAGCCCGTCGGGCTGCAAAGGACGAAGCACACTGCTTTGCGTGTCCAGGTTTCCCTTCCTCCTCCTCCTCCTCCTCCTCCTCCGCTGTGTCGTGCCACCGCACGGCTGCAGGAGCGAGGCCTCCCGGCCCTGGCGGTGGCTGTGAAATCAAGGCAGGCACCGAGTGCGGGTCCCTCGCGGTGGCATCGTGCCTCTGGGAGACACATTGTGGTGCCATTTGGGTCCCTCTCCTGCTAACACCACCCTGCAAAGGTGTTTTCTAAAGAGTGCAAGGGATCGCCCCAGAAGGGTGCTCTTGGCAGCTGCAGTGACTACAGCTGGCGCCCGAGATTCATTTTGTATTGCTCTAGTGCCCAAAGACGCAGCGGATGGCAGGACCTCCTTGGGTGAAGTAAGAGGTTGTCCTGTGCTGCTTACACCCCAAATAGGTGCAGCGCCCAGTCCGGAGCCCCGCGGCGGGACCGTGCGCCAGCGAGCGCTGAGCGCAGCCCATGCAGTAACACGAGCGAGAGCGGCTGGCTCCCAGAGTGGAGGTTTCTGTGCAAATTACAGGGGCGAGTGTGGGAACAGAGGGAGAAGAAAAAATACTGTAAATAACCAATTCTGCATTTCTGTGGGTAAAAAGAACGCTGGGAAAGTAATCTTTTGTTGTGCGTGCCTGACGTCTGAAGGCACATGGAGAGCAAACAAAGGCTCTGTGATGGAGCGCTGTGCTGGGGAAGGAGGGGAAACCTGCCGCACCGCAATCTCGGGAGGGATCTTGGATGCGCGCAGCTAAATAGACGTGTTGTTGGCTAGGTTGGAGTCGGGGGCTCTGTCACGCTCAGCGCCGATGGGCATCCAGCTAGGGCGCACAGGATAGCCCTCAGCCGCGGCAGGGCGAGATGTCACGAGGCATCGCTGCCACAACAAGTGCCACTAGCTGCCATAGAGGATGTTCGCTAAATAATTCAGAAAGGAGACTTGATCTGACATTCATCAGGTTTAGTAGCCTGCTGACCTTGAGAATGACAGGCTGCCGCGGCGGTGGTTTGCCTCTCATTGTTGGTCGAGAGAATAAACGGTGTCACATGAAGCCCTGTTGCTTGACAGCCGATCGATACACCCAGATGATGAAAAGCCCAGTGTTTATGAAATGTGGGTTTTCATAATGATGGTTCAGTTAAGTTAGCTTTACGGATGAATTTGTGAAAATGGCAGAAAGTTTCAAGTCAGCTGAGATCAGGTTTTTGTCTTTAAAACTAGCAGTGAAGGGCAAAAGGAGCTGGTTACGTTTACAAGCAGAGCTGGTCCTCTCTCTCTTCTGAACCCGAGCAGGGGCTTCCTGCTTTAGATGACATTCTTCTTTCTTTTTCTACTTGAGTAGCTCAGATTTTACCTCGGGTCGTTCAGAACGTTTGCTTCCTTGCCAGCAATTGTCAGCATCTGTCCTTGTACTTGTGAAAGTCCCTCAAGCGACCTTTCGAAATGTGCTCCGCTGGCTCGGTCCTCACCTTGCTTCTTAATGAAACACCCATTTCACCTGCGTAATGTGCAGTATCAGTCAGGAAATACTGTGCGCCTGCTGGAGTTGCTCCAATACACGACCTTTTCACAACCGTTGGCGTAGGTAGCAGTATTGCAGTGCATTTGCCAACCATCCAGCACTTTTCTGGGCAGGAAGTTTCATTTCCATTTTCCTAAAACAGTCTGGTGTCCAAAAGTGGAATCTCCTAATCTGATTTCTTGTCTCAGAATAACCTGTTCATTGGATTTTGAAGATATTTAGGCTTGCAAGTATCAGAGCAGGAAGTCTGCCAGGAGCGATGATGAATATACGTGCTATCCTGAGACACAAAGCTCTTCTGCTGGCAGGTAGTCATGCAACTGAGATGTTATAAGCACTCATTTTACTGATCTGTGACATGAGCTCATGATTCTCACCTGCGTTTTAGCTTTGAGTATCAACTTAATATTGAAAAGTTTGCAATTTCTGGTGAGATTAGTTTTTTGGGAATGAATCAGTTGGCATAGATAGCAAACAAAGTGGGCCGCAGGACTCGTCTTCACTGTAGACTCCCTGGTTGCCCAGGTCGCGTTGGGAGCAGGCAAGGCTGCTGCCTGGGGATCACAACTGGGTTGCGCAGAGCCCATTAGACAAGAAGTGGGTTGGAAACGTGGCCTTTCCCAGCCAGCCTTTCCCCTGCACGTGGGGCCAAGTGGCACTCGGGGCATAAATAAACACTTTGCTCCCAAGTGGTTGTAGCTAAGAGCCTTTGCTCCTTGGAAGTTAATGCAGGTAAAGGTAGGCACTTGAGTCATGTTCAGTGAAGACTAGTGCCTGCAGGACCTGCCATTTTGAGTGCTGCATATTTTTTGTCCCAGCTGAAGCCCTTAGTTTACTACTGTGTGGTTTTAACAGTGTATTTCCGGAGAAGAGTGTTACAGTAAACACGGGTAGTTTCTGCTCTACAGAGCTTCTGCTCTGCATTAATCGTTTTGTTAGCAGGCTTCTCTTTTTGCTTTTGCCCAGTTGTGTTTTGTCTCATTTCCTTTGTATTTTAAACAACATCTTCTGAATTTAGAGGAAAAGACGTCATCTTGGGGCCTTGGCACATTAACCATACGGAGCCGTGTTGACAGCCTGCCCAAAACACCGATGCAAGGCAGAAGGGACAAAATGTGCCCGTTGAGGAGGTTGAAGGGTCACAGAACTTCTTTCCCCAGTAAGCACTGTTGATTTGTGGAGCTGGAGGAGGTTGAAAGGAGCCTCCTCGAATCTGCGACATTCTTCAGGAACGTGGGGGTGCTCCTCCATCCTTGGAGAAAGCCCAAGGGCATGACGGCCAGCAACAGCAGATCAGTGCCCCTGGCCTGGCTGAGCCCAGCTTGGACGGGGCATCACAGAACCCACCTTTGGGCTGCCATTTCCAAAACTTTGTAGCTGCTAGAAGGTTGCACCTGGCCAGGCACAGTATCACAGAATCACAGAATCGTTTAGGTTGGAAGGGACCTCTGGAGATCATCTAGTCCAACCTCCCTGTTCAAGCAGGGTCACCTAGAGCATATTGCCCAGGATCACATCCAGACGGGTTTTGAATATCTCCAGCGAAGGAGACTCCACCACCTCTCTGGGCAACCTGTTCCAATGCTCTGTCACCCTCACAGGGAAGAAGTTTCTTCTCAGGTTCAGATGGAACTTCCTGTGGTTCAGTAGCAGAATCCGTGCTTGACTCTTGGACTACAGCTGCAGTTGTAATTAAAAGCAACAACAACAACAACAAATGGAAATGCTCAAATATTTTGTTAATGGCTGTGAATGTTTTCATCCATCTAAAGTGATATTGGAGCCAGGCGAGGTCTCTGCATATTCTCTCGGCCTCTGCTGTACTGTGTACGGGGTAAGTCGGGCAGCTCTGGTGAGAAGCTGGGCTGATTTATCCCAGCTGAAGATTTTGCCCTTGATATTTTGAGTGTAATTCCATATAATGAAACCTAATTTATGATCCTTAATAAAAGCCATAATTTAAGGCATTTGAAAGTGCAGAAGGACTCGCAGCTGTATTTTCTGCATCCTTCTGTGTTCTGTAAACTTGTTTAATACTGCCAAACCCAAGGGCTCAGAAATCCTGAGCTAGGCCCCAGAAGTCACGAGCGTGTTACAGAAACGGCAGGTTTTATTTGCCTTCTGTATTTTTCTGAGCCCGCAGAAACTAGGTTTTTAAAATTTCATTCCACAAACGTAAAAGCTAGGAAATCCGTTCCCCCCAGCAGTTAACTTGAGTCAGAGATTCCTTTGTGAGTCCCTGATTCCAAAGTAACGAGCTTTAAGAGCATCAAAGAGATTTGACAATCTAGCTCGTTCTGTATATTTTCTCCTCCTTTATGAGGAGGGGGGAAACACAGAGGAAGGAAGATTGAGCTTCCCTGTTAAGCAAGCGTAGTCCTTGCGTTTGCAATAGTTACCTGAGATATACATAAAAGGTGAGGAGGGTGCATCTCTCGAGGCCAAACGAAAGGAAAAGGAATGAAATATGCGGCAACCAAAATGCCACGTTAGTAACTTGTGTTTCCCAGAATATTTAGCCCTGCTGGTGTGCAAACGTGCTGTGTCTAAGAACCAGTGGGAAATCACAGCAAACGACTGCAGAAAATAATTAAGAGGGCATGGAAAGCTAGGAGAAAGCTGATACGGGTGTTCAGAGCCAGAAGAGATCGTTGCTTTAATGGCCCGCTTAGCTAAGGAGCAGCGCCTTAAGTTTGACAGCAACTCGAGATTTGGTCAGCAGTGAATAAGATCATAGTTTGAGGAGGATAATTAGTGTCTTCGCGCCATTCAATTTGGGCCGTTGGCACGGAGCCAGTTACTTAAAATGCGCAAATGTGATCCAGCAAAAGGATTTTTCTTTTTCCTTTTCCTCAGCAGCCGCCGCGCAGGGCTTATTGATTTATCTGAGCGGGCTGCTTTCCATGTAAATAAGCGCCGGGGGGGGCGGCGGGGCGGCGTGCACTGTCCGGATGCGGGCACCGGGGCTGCCTGACGACATTGCTCATTAGCATGCAGCAGAGGCGAGCAATGCAACAGCGGAGCCCCGCGCCGCGCTCGCCGCCCTGCTGCCTCCCTCCTCCTTAACGCCTGGCGCTCGCCGAGCAAATTGGACGTCCCAGCGCCGCCTCGGGAGGGTCGCTCGGCGAAGCGTTGGGGGTCCGCTCGGATGGAGAGGGGAGGGGGGGAGCGAGCGCCCGGCGGAGCGGGGATGCGGAGCGAGGCGATTTAAGCTATAAAGCCTAGCAAGGCGCAGGGCAGAAATCGCCCGCAGCGGGTTTCCCGGCGAGAGGGGCGATGTGCAACGCGTGTCGCTTCTGAAGGGCTCGGACAAAAGCCGGCCGCGGGTGCCGAGAGAGCCCCCGGCTGCGCGTGCCCGCGGGTGCCTGGGTCCGTCTGGAGAGGATACAGGATGCTTTATTGCACTGCGGCGGTTTCGCGGCTCTTGGGAGCAGCCCCCCAGCGGAAAGTAAACTGTCAAAACTAGCGTAGCAGAACATCCCCGCGGATTTTTTTCCCCCCCTGCACCGGCATCGGCGTTGGTGGGAATAGGTAAGAAACTGCCTTTTGTCAACAACTTAGAAGTTGCTGTATATTTTTAGGAGGAATAGAAGGTAAAGGGGAGGAGGAGGAGGAACAGGCAGTAATTTGTGCATGCATGGAGCTGCATGATAACTTTGCTCAATATACTGTTATTGGTGACCTTTTGAGGGGCTGCTCTTTCCTTCAGCCTTTGCTGTTCATGTTGTTTACGAATGCAAAAGGTTAATTGGTAAATTGCGTTTTTGCAGCTGCAGGAAGTCGGAGAGAACGGCTGATGCTACGTTAATGGATTTTTCCTTTTTAAAATAATCAGGAAGGCTCAGCTGGTTTTAAATAAGAATTAAAAAGTCCTCATCTCTCGGTGTTAATTTTATTGCTTTGGTGAATGCAGCCTCAGGAAGGCTGCATTCAGTGGGCATTTTCTGAGCGAACTGCGTGCAGCCTGGCGTTGTGGATGAGGATATTACTGCTCAGATGTTTATTGTGTTGCTTTTGGATTCCTGAAGGTAGAGGATTTTAAAGTAATAACCTTCCTGCATCCTTCTTTTTAACACCAGAATGCCTAGCTATGAATCAATCTAGAACTGAAAACAGGGAGTTATATTTTTCAATGCAATCTTTTAAAGTCAGTTTTCCTTCTTTTATGTTCCTTGAAGGATCATTTTTAGCAGATGCGACACAAATGTGACCTGTGACCATGGAAAGATTTTAATCCAGTTACTCTTTGTTTTGCAATCATGATTCCTTGGTGTTGCTGAACAGTGACTGAATCTTTTCAAACCATTGAGGATTAGCACTGGACAGAATAATGGCAGAATAATTATTCACAGCAGATGCAGCGTCATCCTTTTAGTTTTAGCTCTGTTATCTTGTAACTTATCTGACTTGTATTTATTCAGCAATTATTTCACCTACCGCGGGAACTCTTGCATGTCTCACGTCAATGCGTTGTATCTGTCAGGGTGCTGACATGAGCCTGTGGCAGAGGTTTGTAAAGTAAAGCTGTCTGCAGCTAACAGGATTATATTTTGCGTCGTATTTTAATCCTCTCCCATCGTTTGTTTTATACCAGCCAGATTCTGCTTAACAAAACGAACCAGCTTTGTGCACTTGAATTTGGCAGGCTTGCCAGGGCTTAGCCGGCACCTACACGAGTCAGTCTGGTAGCGATTGCTTTCACGAATGCGTCGGTATTGCCTGTCTCGGAGGACGCTGCCTAAGCCCCAACTTCTGAAATAATGGCAGTATTTAGAAGACCGTGAGCGCAGCGCTGCTCATCCTTCTGAGTATTTTGCCAGTCAGCGGCATTTTTTCCTGTAGGACGTATGGCCTAAGAGATGCTCACATTGAAATGTGTTTACTGCTTCCTGTGGTTGCTGCCTATCATGCTGCAAATCCAAACTGGTAAAGTCCATTTAAATAACATGTATAGCCCCAGGGCAAATCACAGCAAAACCACTCTACTTTAGAATATTTCTTAAAGACCATTTCTGAAAAGCTGAACTACAAGAGCTACGACATGGTGGGTAGAAAGAGAGGGACAGGAAGATAAACACTGTTTATGAAGAGAGTAGTATTGTGAAAACTTTACAAGACCATGGGGAGCACATGCTGAGCAGACCCAGGTTTCTGCTTGGGTTCATTGACTGCTGGTTGCGGATCCAGATCTGGTGTCTAAATCTTGACAGAATCAAAGATTCGGAGGCAGTTTTCTTCCTTCAGTTACGCAATAGAAAGAAACCCATTGAGATATAGCTCTGTATCTTGTTAGGCTGCAAAGCCTCTGGATGGTAGAATAAAAAAATCATAGAAGATAACTCATTGTATAGGCCAGGCTTTTGCAGTGCACGCTCACCTCAGCAGTTAAGAGCGCTCTTGGGTAGAGCGTACTGCTGAATTAAACCCAAAAAGAGATTTTAGTGTTGTTGCTTGCTTATCTCAGCCTGCTTCACCAGCCCTCTGGAAAGGGAGGTTGGCAAATCCGGACCTCCTAAATCAGCCTTTTCCATGGCTCCCCCTTCCTTTCAAAATCATGACTTGGCTTGAACTTCGTTTGACTGATAGCTTTGAGATTGGTGTCGATGTTCCTTAGCCTTCTCATTTCTTTAGCTTGGAAACTAAGAGTTTCCATTTCTTCTTCCCAACCAAGGGAAAAATATATGGTTGTTATCATTTCCAGAATTCAAAGAGCTGGACCTTTAAGGAAAAAAAACACACATATTTTGAGATGGATGGTAAGACTGAGTTGGCAGGGCTGCCTTCATCATTTTGGATGTGAAAGAGTAGCCTGCTGGACGCCTTTGTTATGGCTAGATGGAGAACTGGACCGGGACTGGACTGGGACCCGTTGTCCTTAATTTCTACTGCTGCCCTCTCTTGCCTGACCTGCAGATTATATTGCATATATAATTTCGCCTACCTCCATTTTACCTATAAAATGAAAGAAATGCTACATCTTTTACAAAATGTCTTGAGAGCTCTGAACAGAAAGTTCTTCTGAGACATCTCTAGTTATTAATATTCCTTAGTTTGAGCGTCTCATCTTTATGCATCAGAAGCTTCATGGTTAGTGTCAGGGGTTGCAACTCATGGGAGCAAGGCCAGCAGTGTGGTTCAAATTAGGTATTTAAGCGCATTTAAGCACCCTGGGCCTCTTACCCAGCTTATGCAGAGAAACCAGTGCCTGAGAAGGGACTACCGTTCCCCCGCAGAGAGCTGAGGTGCATCTGAGTTCACAAGCCAACCTGGGAAGCAGCCCCAGCTCCAGGGTGATACTTGATGCAAATAGAAAGGTTGTGTTTTAAATTCATCCTGCAGTGGGTGCTGAGAGGTCCAGCCACAGTTTTGGACTGCAGTCCTGGTGTCTCATCTGCCAAAGAGAGCACAGGCACAAAGACGACGCAAACAAAGCCTAGATTGGGGACCTGGGTTTTTCATGCCCTGTTTTGCCCTAATTCCCTAGTCTCGTCTCAGAGGAGTACAGCTTTGTGATCTGACCGTTCTTGTCTACCACGTGGTCCCGAAGGCCGCAGACGACAAAACCGGGAGGCTGCTCTAGCCCGTGCCACAGGGAAGCAGCAACTCAGGGACAGAGCGGCGGGGACCTGCAGGCAGATGTTCCACCCGCTCCCTGAATTAATGGTCCTAATTCACTGTAAAGGCAGACCAATTGGAAAATCCTCTGAGATTGGTTTTGCTCATATTTGGCTGAAACTGGCAATACTGGGGAGAGGTTTGGGGCTTTTTTTTCCTCCATAATTAAGCAAGAATAAATGTTGCGACAGTAAAGGATTTTTTTTTTTTTTTACTGAGTCTTAAAATTAATTTCCAGTCTGAGACCAAGCATGGACAGCTTCAGCCAGAGAGAAGAATTTTTCCAGGAGTTATTAACACTCAGGAAAGGGGGTTGTAATAAAAGCTTCAAAACAGCCTTGAATGACTTAACAATTGCTGTTGTTGGCACCGTGAGGGTCAGAGGGAATTTCAATAACGAAACACTGAAAATCTGACTTGCCTCCCAGCAAATCAGGCAGATGGTGAAGAGTCTGACTTGTACCTCTTTCGTCGTCTCAGTTGTTTTCCAGCCTATTGCAAACCTTTCCCGTGATGTGCAGCAATGCATGTTCTGCTGTCACCACTGAAATTAGTGGGGATTTTGCACCAGGAGTAGTTTGGCTGCTGGTTCATTTTGCTCTTTTATATTTTCTGGCATTACTTTTCCGCCTGCGCTGTTGCTGCTGCAGCAATGGGCTCTTTTAAGCCAACTGTTCCCAAAATATCTTGGGTCAAGTGAGCATTGCCCTCCCTCAGCAGCCCTTGCAAAGCCTCCAAGGGCACCTTGTCCTCAGACTTTGAATTGTTGCTTTGATAAGCATCACTGTCTAGTTATTCTCTTTTAGCCTCTTATACCCTAGTTTTGCAGATGAAAGCTTTAACTAAGCTTCCTCTTAAACCCAGGTGGCACAAAGTCTTTGCAGTTCATTGCTGTTGATAGTTTCTTCTGTTGAAATGAATCTGCAGAAGAGCTATGAAGCTGCAGAAATGCTTTGTCCTGAGAGACGCTGCTTTGTAGCTGAGGTCTTTGGTCACCCTGGGCCTCTCTGAGCAGTGGCTGGGTTGGGTAGACTGTGAGCATTTGGTTCAAATATGGTTTCAGAGAAGTTGGGGACAGAGGCGGAACTTCAGCTCCTATGTCTGGTTCGAGTTGGCAGCTCTTCCTTCAGTCTGTCGCATTAAACTCAGACAGACATTAGGTGGCCGCTTAAAAATGTCTCTCCAATTTTTGCTCTTTGTCAGTATGTTAGCAACCCCTAGAGAAAAGGTGTCTGTGCAGCTACGTCCGTCCAGAGGCAGGTGCTGAGGAGCGGGGTTGTTTATGCAGCACCACTGGACCTCACCTGCCTGTTTTGAGGACAAGAACTCAGGCCTTCTCTGATGAAGCTGATGTTTAGGGAGGTGATGGAGAAGTCAAGGAGGAAATGTGGGTTTGGAGGGCCAGTCTCTGTGATATCCGACTGTGGGTGGCAGTGAGTCCCCGGGGAGAGCAGCCAGGTGGAAGACTGAAGCCTGTTGCCCTGTTAGCCCGGGAGCTGCATGCTGGAAACCCCACGCTCCGGCCAGGGCCAGCACGCGAGTGCCCGGCGGCTCTGGCACGGCACAGCCGCTGGGCAGGCTGCCACCTCCCTGCCCTCTTCCTGGCAGCCTCCTGAACCTTTCGTTGCAGCAGGTTGCGGAGGAACAGCTTTGTTAGAAAACGTGGCTGTGTGAAGCCCTAAGGTGGCCTTTCTTGGAGCGTGTCGCACGAGTTGCATGGCCCTGCACTGCATTCCTCCCGTTGTCTTCATGGGTTTCTCCCCAGATGCATCTCCAGATGCAGAACCAGCCCAAAAAAATGACAAAGCCTGTGTCAAGGGGGTACACTGTTCACGTTTGCCTTCTGCATCTCAGTTTCCCTGTGTATAAAAGGAGAGAGCAATACCTGTCCTGGAGAAGAGCTTTAGCTGCAGAAC